AAACTGTTATCTCAGAAAGGATAAGAAGGGACAAAACAAATTAACCAAAACCAACTAACCTTTTGTAACCTCTGTTCTGTGTCATCAAGTTTCTGTCTTGTGTCGTTGAGTGATCGCTCCAAGTCCACCATCTTCTCGGTCTGAGCTGCAATCTGTTCCGACAGCACCTGCACTTGTAACTGCAAGCTCTCTTTGTCTGCTTCCAATCTCCTGACTCTATCCTCTGCATCATTCTGAAATTCAAACAGACCAAATCTTACTCTATTTTTTGTTAACGCTCCAGATTTTTAACATACATACAAATGTATCATACATACAAATGAATCTATCGTTTGTCATATCAGACGACTCTTAAGCATGTCAACTCACGACTTCTAGACATACCCCGGCCGTTGTAGCCTGTTGCCACGATACATCCAAATTGATATTTAATCAAGTATATCATAAAGTAATAAATAATGACTACTCCCACTATCCGATGTCTACACGGATTAGCTTCCGACCCTTTAAGGGTCAGTTAGTCTCTCTACGTTTATAATATTTATTTTCCTAAAAAGTTTTACTAAGCAGAGTACTTAGAAGTTCACAGACATTGGCATGACACTTATTAGTGGAAATGTAGATGTGTGTTATTCGTTATTAATACGCTTTCTGGTAGTAGGATTATTAAAATTATAACATCTATTGATGTCTAGCTACAATACAAATATTTATTCTGTACATATTTACTCTAATAAAACTTCGAGAACATGTGAGGTAAAGGTGCAAAAGTAAAAACATTTAGTCGTTGGCTACTAAAATCTTCACAGCAGTTTAATCAATTAATGATTGATTTTTAATAGCAAAAATCGTTAGTTTACGTCATGGAAATAAATTTATAACATATTCTACTACTTAAAATTATCAAAAATTTGTTATATTATAAAAATACGACAAGTTATTTAACGATAAAAACGTAAACAAAAAACAACTAACAAAACCCAGGTATGCTAAAACATAGTCTTGGAATTTAGAAAAACACACGTTACATAACAACAAAAACATTGTTATTCCGTAAACATATCGTTTAGAAACGGATTATCAATTTGGGGCCCATTTGAACG